CTTCCGTCTGATTATTTACTCCCCAACACCGCAGTGGCCGGTACTGCACCGATCCAAAGCCAGGAGCCAGCAACCTTTTCCGTGTCTCCCATACGGGTGCAGGGTCCCAAGGCTTTGGGCCGTCCTCGACTGCTTTCCCAGGCCACAAGCAGGGAGCTGGAAGGGAAGTGGGCTGCCGGGATTAGAACCAGCACCCATATGGGATCTTGGCGCATTCAAGGCGAAGACTTTAGCCACTATACCACCACACTGGGCCCAAAAATTTTTTTTAAAAAAGTAAATAACTTGAAACTATCACAAATTTTTCTTGCTAGTTCATTACTGCTAATTTGTGTCAAGGAAAAATTTTGGAAAAAATCTAAATGTGAACTTAAGTATATTTATTAGTATAAAAATCAAAGAAGGGAAGATAATGATTAGGTTGCCTTTCATAATTTTGATGCATTAGTAGCAAAAATTATTCTTAACAGGCCATGTATAAGAATTCTTCATTAATAAAAGCCAAATATCTGTCTAAGATTTGATTATTTCTTTAATTAAATTGGTTTTAAAATGTTTGTTACATAGGTGAGGGGACTGCAGACCCGTGCAGGTCTCTGGATGAGTTGGGCAGGAATGGGGCGAGGGGAAGGTGAGTCAGGGAAAAGACTCTGCCTTCCCTCCTATGGCCTGGGGAGTTGGCGAGAGGAGAATGCCCTAAGAGTGTTACTTAAGTAGTCTCTGTTGTTCGCAGATGGTGTTAGTTTCATTGCACCAGGTATGGTACCACTTCCCATACTTGCCAGCTGTCTGTGTCTTTCGGTATGTCCATTAGCCTTAGATCTTGTTAGAGAATTTGGCCCGCAGTATTGTTGAGCCTACTCCTCCTTCTGTTTTTTTTGGTGAGACACTCAAGGTCCTCTGTTAAATCAGGGTGACCTATCTTTTCTTGTGTATCTTGGTATGTTGTCTTTCCTTTCCGGCTCTATGCTGTCATATGCACTAGTGGGCACTCCAGCCCAATCCATTCTGTCCAGACCCATCCTTGCACACTTCAGCCAGGCCAACAACCAGGTCAGGCCATCCCAAGACCTAACCCTTACTTGTACCAGCAGGTGGAGCAGGTTAATTAGAGACCCCCAAGAATCCTTACCTGTACATGACCTGCCCTAGACCTACCTTTCATGTTTGCTGGGAGGTGCTGCAGCCTAGCCCAGCCTGACCTGGCCTGGCCCCAGCTTTGGCATTTGTGTGTGCTGGAGAATGGTATGGCCTAGCAGGGGCATCCCCAAAGTTTCCCTACTAGGCCCATTCCCAGCCCCGATTCTCACTGCAGCCCAGCCTGACACAGCCTGTCCCCAGCCCCAACACTAACTAGTAGATGAATAAATCTTTAAAAAAATAATTAACAGAAGCATCAGATTTCATGCATGTGCAATCACTTTAAATATTTATTTTTGGAACCCCCAACCATGTGACTGTGGCTGGGAGATCCCATTCCGGCTGGGCCAGGCTTCCTGCTGGGTATCATAACTTCCCCACCCAGCGCTGCTAGGCAGGAGGAGAGTCCTGTGCTTGTGGTTGGCCAGAGTATCAGTTGGCACTGGTTGGCACTCTAGCCGCCTGGCGGCGAGCTCTGGGGTCTTGGGAGTGTGGAATTACTGCCTAGGGACATCCATAGATGAGGCCACTGTACATGTAGTTGAAGAATGAATCCTGAGGGATACCCAATGACAGGGTCACTGTACTTGGCAGGTAAGCGAGGACACTGAGACCTGGTGGTTTGGAGGGGAGTGACGTGAACTTTATTGGCTAGCTTGAGAGTTGGGATGGTGATGGGCTTAGCTAGGCTTGACCACGGAACTTAACAATGCTCACTAGCACTGGGGCTGGAAACAAGTGGGGCAGGTCCAGGCTGCAGCACCCGCAAGAGCGCCCATAAAAGAGGTTGTGGGGCTGGCCGGGCCGCACCAGCTCGCACAAAGGCCGGAACGGATGGGGCAGGCCATGTTAGGTAAGGGCCAAGCACCTGCTGACGTGTGAGATCTGGGTCTGGAAGTGGCCCAAGTGGTGAAACATGGGAAACTCCCCTAGTAAGTCATAGCTTCTGCTAGTGTGTGTGTGGTCCAGGCCTTGGGTGTTGTGGCAGTCTGGGCAGGGTAGCTACAATCCATCAGCAAATGTGTGAGATGATTTTGGAAGGGGGCAGGTTAGGTGGGGCTAAGCAAATCATAGCCCATGGCAAGTGCAGAAACCAGGATGGAGTGCAGGTTAGGCTGGACTAGGCTTCCGTCCCTACTGGTTTGCATGAGCTAGGGATGAGAGCAGACTGAGCAGGGTCAGATTGCAGCACCTGCCAGTGACAGTTGGGACTGGGGGGCAGCTGGGCCAGGCCAAATTGCAGCATCCGAAGGCAAAGGCCAAGACAGGGGAGGGGCTATGCCAGGCTGGGTCAGAGCAACTACTGGCATGCATGAGATACTTTGCTGGGATCAGGCCTGGTTGGGAAGCTAAGGGGATGCCCTGGCTGGGTTGTGGGTCCCACTGGTGAGCTCTGGGGGCCAGAGTGGGGGCTGTGGTCTGAACTGAACATGGCTGCAGTCTCCCTCATTATGAGTATGGACTGGGTCTGGGGTGCACCAGACTGGGATAGACTCGAATATCCAGTGGCGCTTGTGAAAACCAGGGTAGGTGTAGGACAGGCTGGGCTAGGTCTCTGCCCCTGCTGAACCATGCATGAGCTGTGTCTAGGTGTGGATCAGTCTTGGCTGGGCTGTAGCACTGAACAGTAAGAACCGGAATGTGTGAGGGCTAGTCAGGAAAGGCTGTTGTCCCTGCTAGAACAGAAGGTGGACTAAGTAGGGCTGGCCCATGGACCCATTGGTGTGTGTAAGATCTGGCTTTGGGAGAGGTTCTGATAGAGGAGCTTGGGAAGCTTGGGAAGCTCCTCTATGGGGATACAGGCCCTGCAGGTGAGTGCAAGAACCAAGAAAGGGAACAGCTCAGACTAGGCCAGGGTACGGTACCCATGGGCTTACCTTTGGCTCAAGTCTGGTGCAGATAAGGCTGGGCCAGTTCATATCACCCACTGGCAAATCCAAGAGCCAGATTGGTTGTGGGTCATGCCAGGTCTGGCCGCAATACCAGCCAGTTCACATGAGGACTGGGACTGGAGTTTGCTGGCCTGGCTGGGCCAGGCTATAGCACCCATAGTAAATGCCGTGGTGAGGCAGACCATGCCAAACTGGGCTGCAGTACTCATCCAGCACACGTGAGACCAAGGGGAGATAGTGGGTTAACCTGGTAGGGGGGCTGCAGGGAGCTCTCCTGCTGGGCTGCTATTCCCACTTGTGAGGGTGAGAACTGGTATTGAGTGAGGGCAGACCAGTCTGGGTAGAGTTACAACACCTGTTGACCTGCTTGTAAGCTGGATCAGGGACAAGCCAGGCTGGGTGGACTGTACCTACTGGTACATGCATAAGCCAGAGTGGGTGAGGGTTGGCTGGGCTTTGCCGCAGCATCAACTGGCAGATACTGGCAGGCGGGGAGGTGTCCAGCTAAAATGCAGTACCACTTGTAGAATACAAGATCCAGGAGTGGGAGTGAGCCCATTAGGGAAGCAGTGGGCACTTCCCTCTTGGGTTACCACTCCCATTGGAAAGCACGAAAACTAGGACTGGGACAGGCATGACTAGACAGAGAGTGGCACCCACCAGTACATGTGTGGGCTGGATAGTGGAGCTGGTTGGGTTGAATTAGGCTTCAATGCCAATTGACGTGTAAGAGAGCTAAATGGGATGTGGGACAGATTGGACCAGTCTGCTGCACATACTGGCAAGCATGGGAACCAGTGCAGGGGGTAGACCTGGAGGGGGTTATTGTGGGTTGCTCTGACTATGCTACAACTCCCACTGATTTGCGTGGGGGCTAAGGGTGTACTGGGCAGAATCAAACTGGACTGCAACATCCATGAACTTGTGTAGAAGACAGGGCTGAAAGCAGAACTAACCCAGCAATTGCAACTAACTGTGCATGTAGGCCAATCTGAGTGACCAGCTGTACCGGACCCTTTATTGGCATGCATGTACAAAAATCAGGTCTGGGATCACCTCAGATGAAGTTTCTTTGGGGATCCCTCCAACTGAACTGCTGGATTCAGAATCCCAACCATGGAGGAAGTTGTAGGTTCCATGGTCTGACCATGGAATGCATGTGTCAAAGCTGGGCCGCCTCAGTAGCTTAGATGAAACACTGGACAGCATATCCAGGTGCATGTGGAGGATATGGCAGTACACTGGAGCCTGCAGAGGACACCTGGTACCGTAACAGAACAGAGGACAGAACAAACCAATCAACTACCCCTGCCAAGAGTTGGCAGTGAATACCTGGGTAAACGGAGACTCTAAGGTGGACTGTGTCAACCAGTGGATTTTGGAGAGATTTAATCGTGCTTGGAGTGGCAAGATCTGTAGCAATACAGAACTGTTGAACTATCAAAACCAATTGAGCAAGACCTTCGGAGCTTGCCCCACATCAGGAACCCTGGGATGGGTGGGAGGCTGGGTGGGGCTTTTCTCCTTATCTCCCCCCGCCCCCCAAAAGAAGGAAAAGAGAGAATGTCAAAACAATGGTCTCACTAACTTTCCTCTAGCCTTTGACTGTTCGCACCCTAATCAAATATGTAAAAATTATCAAAATAGATTTTATGCAATTAAAGAAATATATTTTTGGTGTAAATAGGCTTCTAATGGTTGGTGAATGTGGTAAATAGTATTGTTTATCTTTTACAATAAGGACTTTAATTACTGCAGTGTATTTGGAACTTACTTTCTGTCTGTTGGGAGTTGAATGGAGAAGTTTCCCTTTAATATATGTGTTCTAAGATGATTATGGGGTAGTAGGTTAACTTTAACATAATATGAGTCTTTATAACTTTCCTGCCTCATCCTATTCTAGTTTATTTAAGAGTCTTCATTCTGACTTCATTTACAGTTTTTGTGTTTGTTTTGTTTCTGCTGTAGGATGGATAGAATGACAGAAGATGCTCTTCGCCTAAATCTGTTGAAACGGAGCTTGGACCCAGCAGATGAGCGCGATGATGTCCTGGCAAAGAGACTCAAGATGGAAGGGCATGAGGCCATGGAGCGTCTGAAAATGTTGGCACTGCTCAAAAGGAAGGATTTGGCAAATCTTGAAGTGCCGCATGAGTTACCCACCAAGCAGGATGGCAGCGGTGTCAAGGGCTATGAAGAGAAGCTCAATGGTAACCTCAGGCCTCATGGAGACAGCAGGACTGCTGGAAGGCCAGGGAAAGAAAACATCAATGATGAGCCTGTGGACATGAGTGCTAGACGGAGGTATGGTTCAGTGTAGCTGCCTTGGCGGTTAGGGTCTTCTCACAAACTAAGCTGGTAGAAATAGAATTCCAGTGAAGGAAGAACATTGTCCATTCTGTAATTTCTTGGAAGATTTCTCTGTGTTGGCTGGCTGGCTGGACCATGAATTTCTTTTATTTCTGTCAAATGTGGTACCTCAAAAATATGTAGTATACATTGAGTTTTAGGATTTTTTTCTTCCATTTTACTTGAAAGAGTATTCAGAGAAAGAGAAGAGATACTCGGGGAAAGAGATCTTACATCCACTGATTTACTCCCCTAAACTCCCACAACATTCAGAGCGGGACGGGCCAAAGCAAGGAGCCAGGAACTCAATTCTTGACTCTCAAGTGGGTGGAGGGACCCAGCTCTTGGAGGCTAACATGTACTGTCTCCCAGGATGCCCATTAGCAGGAAGCTGGACTGGAAACTGAGGAGTATGGACTCGAGCCAGACACACTGGTATGATTGATGCTTGTTCAGTTCAAGATCAAGCATCAACTGAACTAGACACCTGTCTTGAGAGTCATGGTTCATAACCTTAAGATAAAGTGTAAAATAATCTACTGGATGATCATTAGAAGTAAATTAATAGGGCCCGGCAGCATGGCCTAACAACTAAAGTCCTCGCCTTGAACGCGCTGGGTTCCCATTTGGGCACCGGTTCTAATCCCGGCGGCCCCATTTCCCATCCAGCTCCTGCTTGTGGCCTGGGAAAGCAGTCGAGGATGGCCCAAAGTCTTGGGACCCTGTACCCGTATGGGATACCCGGAAGAGTACCCTGGCTCCCGGCTTTGGATCGGCATAGCATCGGCCGTTGTGGTCACTTGGAGAGTGAGTCATCGGTCGGAAGATCTTCCTCTCTGTCTCTCCTCCTCTCTGTATATCTGACTTTGTAATAAAAATAAATAAATCTTTAAAAAAAATAAATTAATAGGGTCCGGTGCGGTACCCCAGTGGCAAAAATCCTCGCCATGCATGCTCTGGGATCTCATATGGATGCCAGTTTTAATCCCGGCAGCTCCACTTCCCATCCAGCTCCCTGTTTGTGGCCTGGGAAAGCAGTTGAGGACGGCCCAAAGCCTTGGGATCCTGCACCCATGTGAGAGACCCGGAAGAGCTCCTGGCTTTGGATTGGCTCAGCTCCAGCTGTTGCGGCCACCTGGGGAGTGAATCATGGGACGGAAGATCTTCCTCTCAGTCTCTTCTCTCTGTATATCTGCCTTTCTGGTAAAAATAAATCTTAAAAAACAAAAGTAAACTAATATGTGTGGCTACCATTATAGTATAATGTGTACAATGCCATCATCCAGTTTGTGTCCTTGCTTCTCAGCTTCCAATCCAGTTTGCTGCTGATGGCCTAGGAAAAGCAGCAACAGGTGGTCCAAATGTTTGGGTCTGCCACTCACAGGGGAGAACCAGGGCGAAGCTCTAGGCTCCTGACGTCAGCCTAGGATGCCAGCACCATAGAAAAGCTTAGCCTGGTACTTCCTTGTGGCTTTTTGTTTGGAGATTTCTTTGAAAAGCATGATTAAACAGGGAAGACAGGTAAATAGATCTATGTTCACTGACTCACACCCTCACATTGGCTGTTTTCTGCTGCCTTCCTAGATGAATTGGCAGGGTACTAAACCAGAGCAGCCAGGATTTGAACCAGCACTCATATGTGGTTTCAGTATTACGGGCTGTGGATTAATCTCCTTGCCGTGCCACAACACTCCCTACTACCTGTAGTTTTTGTTGTTGTTGTTTAAACCTTCGCAGGCCATGTGGAGCTGCAGCTACTGCCGCGCCACACCTCGTCCCTTCCCCTGTATTAACATTAGTTTTAAGAACATTCAGGACCAGCATTCATAGTATAGCACATTAAGCTGTAGCCTGCAGCACCAGCATCCAGTATTGGGTGCCAGTTCAAGTCTGACTAGTCCACTTTTGATCTGGTTCCCTGATAATATGCCTGGGAAAGCAGCAGAGGATGGCCTACGTGCTTGGGGCCCCTGCACTCATGTAGGAGACCTGGAAGAAGCTCCTAGCTTCTGTCTTTGGCCTGATCCTGTCCTGAGTAAAACAGAGGATGCAAGACCCACTCTGCCTTTCAGATAAGTAAAATAAATCTTTAAAAAGAACATTCTGATTTGGACAGGATTTTGGCATAGTGGGTTAAGCCACTGCCTCTGATGCCAAAATCTCATATGAACACTGGTTCAAGTCCCACCCAGCTGTTTCACTTCTGCCCAGCTAATGCTCTTGGGAATACAGAAGAAAGTCACTAAATACTTGGATATTTGCCCACCCATGTGGGAGACCTGGATGAGTTTCAGGCTCCTGGATTTATCCTGGACCAGCTCTGGCTGTTGCAGGCATTTAACAGTGACCAGCAGATAAAAGATGTCTCTTCTCATTTCTCTCTTTTCTGCTATCCCCAAATCTCCCAATCTTTTTCTGTTACTCTGCCATTCAAATAAAGGAAAAATTACAGAGTAATAAAAATATTTTTTAGGGCCCAGTGCAGTAGCCTAGTGGCTAAAGTCCTCGCCTTGCATCCACTGTGATTCCCATATGGGTTCCGGTTCATATCCCAGCTGCTCCAGTTCCCATCTGGCTCCCTGCTTGTGACCTGGGAAAACAGTCGAGGATGGCCCAAAACCTTGGGACCCTGTCTCCGCATGGGAGACTGGAAGAACTCCTGACTCTTGGCTTTGGATCAGCTCAGCTCTGGTTGTTGTGGCCACTTGGGGAGTGAGCCAATGGATGGAGGATCTTTCTGTCTATCCTTCTTTTGTAGATCTGCCTTTCTAATAAAAATAACTAAATATTTTACCAAAAAAAAATCTTTCTAAAAAAAAACAAGTAAAATTAATATAGATTTCCAAGAAAGATAATCATGGTTTCTTTAATTGGGATTACAAGATGAGTAAATGAAAACAGGAGGAAGGCAATATCTTGACATAGCCATTTCGCCTGAAGATCTTATTTTGCTCTTGGTTAAGAAAATTACATCTTTGAAATAAGGTGTGTGAAATCAGTATTTATATTTTGGAAGACTTAAAAACACACCAGTGATTCTTTCACCAAGATATGAATAAGAGGCTTTTCCAGCTTCTGAATATTGAACAGATGAAGGCAGGATCTCTTCTGTTTTGGTTTTGAAGGGATAATACTTGTTTGAACTTTGCCTTATCTGTGCTATTTATTTAAGATTTATTTTGAGCCTGGCGCGATGGCTCAGCGGCTAAATCCTTGCCTTTTTTGTGCTGGGATTCCGTGTGGGTGCCAGTTCATGTCCCAGTGGCTCCACTTCCCATCCAGCCCCTTTCCTGTGGCCTGGGAAGGCAGCAGAGGGATGGCCCAAGGCCATGGAGCTCAGCATCTATGTGGGAGACCCTGAGAAAGCCCCTGGCTTCCTGGCTTCATATCATCTCAATTCCAGTCACTACTGGCATTTCTGCAGTGCATGGAAGATCTTTCTGTCTCTCCTCTCTATAAGTTTTATTTATTTATTTTCATTGGAAAGGCTGCTACAGCCAGAACTGAGCCAATCTGAAGCCAGGAGCCTCCTCCCAGTCTTCCATGTGGGTGCTGGATCCCAAGGCCTTGGACCATCCTCTACTGATTGCCCAGGCCACAGGCAGGAAGCTCGATGAAAAGTGTAACAGCTAGGACACGAAGTGAAAGTTGGGCTATTGTGTCAGCCATCTGTACTGTTTAATATAGATCTTGAATTATCATTTAGTGTTTTCAGATAAAATTTCCTGATCATATCATATAATTCCAGAATATCTGAACAGGAATGTTTTTGCCATTGATAAGTAGAAACCCCTAAGCAAAAATAAAAAGCAAAAACAAACAAAAAGAAATCCCTAAGCAATAGACTTGAGCATGAAGGACTCATTACCTTAGAAATAATCTTTTGCTTTGAAGACTTATTTTAAAGACAGAGGATGGGGAGTTAGGGACACTCCCTAAGGCTCCACAGCAGCCGAGTATGGGCTATGCTAACACCGTGCACGAGCATTGTAGTGCAGCAGTAAGTCACCACCTGTGATGCTGACATTCCATATCGAGATGCCAGTTCACCTCCCAGCTCTTCTGCTTCCTATAACTCTGTACTGATAGGACTGGGAAAACAGCAGACGACAGTCCAAGTGCTTGGGCCCCCGCCACCCAATGAGAGACCCAGATATGGAGTCTCCCGGACTTGTTTGACTTGTCCCAGGCTTGGATCTTGTGAGCATGTGGAATGCAAACTAACAGATGGAATGTTCTTTTCTCTGTTACTCTGCCCTTTAAATCTTTTTTGAAAAGAAAAGGAGGGGCCTGACACGGTAGCCTAATGGCTAAAGTCCTTGCCTTGCGTGCACCAGGATCTCATGGATGCTGGTTCATATCCCAGCTGCTCCACTTCCCATCCAGCTCCCTTCTCGTAGCCTGGGGAAGCTACGAGTAGAGGATGAACCAAGAAGTTGGAACCATGCAACCATGTGAGAGACCCAGAAGAAGCTCCTGGCTCCTAACTTAGGATTTGGCCAGCAGTGACCATTGCAACTATTTTGGAATTCGACCAGCAAATGGAAGATCTTTCTCTCTGTAACTGTTTTTGAAATAAAAATAAATCTTTTAAAACGTACAAAGGAGGAAAGAAAAGTTGGCAGGCCCAGAGCAGTAATCTTAGTAGCTAAATCCCTTGTCTTGCATACACCAGGATCCTGTATGGGTGCCAGTTCATATCCCAGCTGCTCTAACTGCCTGCCTTCTCCCTGCTTGTGGCCTGGGAAAGCGGTCAAGGAGGGCTCAAAGCCTTGGTACCCTGCACCCACATGAGCAACCTGGAAAAAGCTCCTGGATGGTGGCTTCGGATCAGAGCTGAGCTCTAGTTGTTACAGCCTCTTGGGGAGTGAATCAGTGGAGGATCTTTCTTGTCTCTCCTTCTTTCTGTAAATTGGACTTTTCAGTAAAAATGAGAGAAATTTTTTTAAAAAAGAAGAGAGGGCCCAATGCAGTAGCTCAGTGCTTAAAGTCCTTGCCTTGGACACGCTGGAATCCCATACGGCCGCGGGTTCTAATCCCAGCAGCTCCATTTCCCATCCAGCTCCCTGCTTGTGGCCTGGAAAAGCAGTTGAGGATGGCCCAAAGCTCTGGGACTCTGCACTCACGTGGTAGACCCAGAAGAGCTCCTGGCTCCTGGTTTGGATTGGCTCAGCTCCAGCTGTTGGGGCCACTTGGGGAATAAGTCATCAGACGGAAGATCTTCTTCTCTCTCTCTCCTCTCTGTATATCTGCCTTTCCAGTAAAAATAAATTTAAGAAAGAAAAGCTACACTCCAACATGGGGTGCATGCATCACAAACAGCAGCGTGACCCTCTGAATCACAAAGCCCTCCCTCTGTTCCTCTGCCTTTAAAATAATAATAATAATAATAATAATAATAATAATAATAATAACAGTGAGGAGAGGGCAGGTCTAGTGGTGACACTCCTGTGTCTCTTGTCCAAGTGTCTTGGTTCAGTATTGGCTTCACCTTCTGACTCCAGCTTTCTGCAGACTTGAGGCGCAGCAGCTGCTGGTCTCACCAGGTGTGGCTGTTGCATTTGTAGATAGAAGTACCCATGGAGTATACCCCCCGCTTTTTTTCATACTTTATCTCTTCCTTAAGTAAAAGAAATAGAAAAATCTATATAACATGTCTAGCCAAGACTTGAGTAGGTGATGTGCCTTGGGAGGAAAATGAAGTAGAATGAGTGAAAAATCTTCCAGCACTCAAAATTATTCTTGCATGTTGATATTAGGGATGAAGGCAATGAAAAGCAGACATTTTAAATAAGTTACAGAAAATTAATTCAAACAGTGTATTCAGGTTGACTTAAACAAGGGTCTGGGAACTTGGAATATAAGAATGAAAAATCTTTCTCCCTCTAGTGGCTTTTGCTATAAACTGTGTGTTTTTACATTTTGCTGTGTCTGTAACCAGCAAGATTCTGCAGCAGTCCACACAAATTTATTAGCTCATAAGTCATTCTTCCTACCCTGTTTTATCAGTTAAATTTCATTTATTTTAGTAATTCCAGTTTACCTGTGAGGTATTGAATGCCTGTCCCATCAGGAGATAACTTTGTTCAGAAGGCAACCATGTCCTATGCAGGTGAAGGAGCCACTTGGGACCTCCGCCTCATGTTGGCCTTTCCCTGAAGGCAGCATATAATGGCTCAGGTACTTGGGTCACTGTCATCTCTGTGGGTAGATTTCTGGTTCCTGGCTTTAACCTAGGCCATCCCTGATAATTTTGGCATTTGGGTAGTGAACCAGCAAACAGAAGATACTAACACTGTGTCTTTCAAATAATTAAGAATAAATGCAAAATAAATAGATAAAAAGATCTCTTTGTCCCAACTGCACTCTTGAGAAATAATGTAGAAGCTCTTATACCTGGTGAACTATGAAAGTAACACATTTAAATGAGACCTTGTAAGCTCGTTCCCCTAGAAACATACGCTCCTGACAACAGAGATGAGCTCAAGGAAGAGGGGAACCGGGAAGTGATCTTTGTAATCAGGGGAGAGATACAAACCTCAATCATGGTTTGGGAATCTAAAGCAGTTAGAGGTCCTCGTATTCTTACTGTCTTCATCTTAAGTGTTGAGTGCCACTTTTCATTATCTACAGAAAAACACCCAGACCAAGAAAGACCAATACAAAGCTTGTCTACTAAATAGGGTTATTGGGCATAGCATGGTAGTTTAATGGCTGAGATCCTCACTTGTATGTGCCGGGATCCCATATAGGTGCCAGTTCATATCCCAGCTGCTCCACTTCCCATCTGGCTCCCTGTCTGTGGCCTGGTAAAGCAGTCAAGGACAGCCCACAGCCTTGGAACCTTGCACCCATGTGGGAGACCTGAATGAAACTCGTGGCTTTGGATCGGCTCAGCCCTGGCCATTGCAACCATTTGGGAAGTGAATCAGCGGACGAAAGATATTTTTCTGTCTCTCCTTCTCTGTAAATATTTCCAATAATAATAATGATGATGATAATAGTAATAAATCTTTGAAAATAAATAGGGTTGAGGGGCCCGGCGCGGTGGCGCAAGTGGTTAAAGGTCCTCGCCTTGCACGCCCGGGATCCCATATGGGCGCCGGTTCTAATCCCGGCAGCCCCGCTTCCCTTCCAGCTCCCTGCCTGTGGCCTGGGAAAGCAGTTGAGGACGGCCCAAAGCTTTGAGACCCTGCACCCGCGTGGGAGACCCAGAAGAGGCTCCTGGCTTCAGATCGGCATAGTATCAGCCCGTTGCGCTCACTTGGGGAGTGAATCATGGGACGGAAGATCTTCCTCTCTGTCTCTCCTCTCTGTATATCCGCCTTTCCAATGAAAAAATAATAAAAATAAATCTTTAAAAAAAAAAAAAGAAAAGAAATAGGGTTGATAAGAACGTGGTAGACTTAGATTTCAAAATAATATCTAGGGGCCAGTATTTCTGACATAGCAGGTTGTCCCATATATGGGTGCCAGTCTAAATCCCAGCTGTTCCATTTCTGATTCAGCTTTCTGCTAATGTGCCTGAGAAAGCAACAGGGGATGGCCCAAGTGCTTAGGTCCCTGTACCTATGTGGGAGACAGAATGAAGCTCCTGGCTTCAGGCTTGCCCAGCCATTGTCTTTGTGGCTGTCTGGACAGAGAGCCATCTAATGGAATGCTATCTCTTTCTTCTTTGTAACACTTTGAAAAAAAAAAATTGGGACCTAGCACGGTGGCCTAGCAACTAAAGTCCACACCTTAAGTGTGGCGGGATCCCATATGGGCTCCAGTTCTAATCCTAGCAGCCTGGCTTCCCATCCAGTCCCCTGCTTGTGGTCTGAGAAAGCAGTAGAGGATGGCCCAAAGCCTTGGGACCCTACACCCATGTGTGATACCCAGAAGAGCTCCTGGCTTCACACTGGCTCAGCTCTAGCCATTGCGGCCACCTGGGGAGTGAATCATTGGACGGAAGATATTTCTGTCTCTCCTCCTCTCTATATATATATAACTTTGCCATAAAAATAAATAAATCTTTAAAGATAAACCAAAGTAATTTCTACACAGTTTCTGTGAGTATCCTGGAAAGTAGGTACAAGTTCCATGTATTTAATTGTCCTGGTTCAGTCCTCCTTTGTCTGTAGACTGAGTACTTGCAATTTTTTTTTTTTCTAGCCACTTCTAAGACTTTCTTCTGCCTGTTCTTCACTTTGACAGGTTAGGCTTTCAATGAGGTTCACTTGCCTTTCTTGCAAGTCTTCACATAGCAAGGATAATGTTAGTACTGTAGTGACCAGTGTATGATCTGTCCCCAAGAGGATGGCTGGGTCTGCTGTTTTTGCCTTTCTTACTAAGTAAGAAATGACAGCTCAGGGGAGCACAAGATACAAGGAAAATCTATCAATCTGTATGAGGCGAAATTGGTGGTTGGCACAGTAATTAAGATCCCACGTGGGGCCTCTACATCTGTATCAGGAATGCCTTGAGTCCTTACTCTACTTCTAGGTTCTGCTCATACCCACCCTGGAAGCAGCAGGGAATGGGTCAAGTACTTGGTTCCTTGCTACCCATGTGGGCGATCTAGATTGAGTTCCTAGGTCCTGGCTTTGGTCTGGCCCAACCCCAGTTCTTGGAGGCCTTTGGGGAGAAAACCAGTGGATGGAAAATCTTTGTTGCTTTATTTCCAGATAAATAATAAATTCCTTAAGGTGGATGCAAGGAAAAAGGCACAAAGGGAATGACTATGACTGGCTCTAAAATAGAAGAGATAAGTGTTCTTATTTTTTGAATTTATATTTATAAATATAATGAATGTGATTATTACTAATGAGATTCACTTATTTGAAAGGCAGAGAAAGAGACAGATGGATTTCTGCTGTCCACTGGGCCACGCAAGAACCAGTAACCTGGAGCTCAATCTAAGTCTCCTACATAAATGGCAAAGACTCAAGTCTTGAACCATCATCTTTGCCTCTCTGGCACGTTAATAGAAGGTATGGACAGGACTAAACCCCGGCACTGCAGTATAGAATGCAGATGCCTTAGACAGTAGAACCCCCTGCACCACAGTGCCCACATCTTGAAGGAATTTGTTTTTATTGGAAAGGCAGGTTTACAGAGAGAAGCAGCAGAGAGAAAAATCTTCCATCTGCTGGTTTACTCCACTAGTGGCCACAACAGCCAGAGCTGAGCCAGTATGAAGCCAGGAGCCAGGAACTTATTCCCAGTTTCCCATTTGGATGCAGGGTCCCAAGGCTTTGGTCCATCCTCAACTGCTTTCCTAGGCCACAAACAGGGATCTGGTTTGGAAGTGGAGTAGCTAGGACATGAACTGGTGCCCGTATGGGATACTGGTGCATGCAAGGCGAGGATTTAGTCACTGGGCCCTTTAAGGATTTAAATGGAGAAAACATTCTGCTAAGATTTTGCTATTTGCTTCCATGTTGGTGTCTTCTTTATCCTGGGAGTTGAATTTCTGTCTTTTCCTGGGTGATTCAGAACAGACTTAAATTGCTTTGGATTTTTTGTTCCATGTAGAAAGAAAAAAAAAATTGGGGCTTGCATTGTGGTACAACAGGTTAAGCTACCACCTGCAGTGCCAGCATCCTGTATGGATACTGGTTCGAGTCCTGGCTGCTCCACTTCCATCTGATCCAACTCTGCTAATGCTCCTTGGGAAGCAGCAAAAGATGACCCAGGTACTTGATGCCCTGCACCCAGTGGGAAACCCAGATGAAGCTCCTGGCTTCTGGCTTCAACCTGGCCCAGCCCCTGCCACTGTGGCCATTTGGGAAGTGAACCAGCAAATGAAGAAGCCTTTTTCTGTTTCTGTGTATAATTTTGCCTTTCAAATAAGTGGAAAATAAATCTTAAAATATTTGTCAACATTTTTATGATTACTCCCTGTTGGAAATACTTTGATTTTTCCTCTTTTCTTTTAGTGAGCCTGATCGAGGAAGGCTAACTCCCTCTCCAGATATCATTGTTTTGTCTGACAATGAGGCTTCCAGTCCTCGTTCTAGCTCTCGAATGGAAGAAAGACTTAAAGCAGCCAACCTGGAGATGTTTAAGGTAAAAAGAATAAAAGTTTTTTCTTCATTTTGTACTACTTCTATTTTAATACCGTAAAAATTCTCATTCTGATTTTTTTACTTTATTCTTTGGATCCAAGTAATTTAATAATGTCTAGTGACTTTCAATTTCAAAGGCATACTGTTTTAGAAGGAACTCTTAGAGACATATAAAAAGAGGGAAGAGGGCCCAGCGCAATAGTATAGTGGTTAAGGTCCTCGTTTTGCACATGCCGGGATCCCATATGGGTGCTGTTTCTAATTCCGGCAGCCCCACTTCCCATCCAGCTCCCTGCCTGTGGCCTGGGAAAGCAGTCAAGGACGGCCCAAAGCTTTGGGACCCTGCACCCGCGCAGGAGACCTGGAAAGAAGTTCCTGGCTTCGGGTTGGCACAGCACTGGCCGTTGTGGTCACTTGGGGAGTGAATCATCGGACAGGAGATCTTCCTCTCTGTCTCTCCTTCTTTCAGTATATCTGCCTTTCCAATAAAACAAATTTTTTTTAAGAGAAGATAGGTTAAAAAGCATATAAAAGCAAGTGTGACAATATAATTTATCTCTGGAAAATAAAAAGTTCGTAATTCAAGTCACATAAGATAAACTTTGCTGGAAGGATACCTTCTGCATTTTATCCAGAATCTTAAGCTAGAAAAATTTGTATGTTTAGCTTAGGGAAAATGGATTTGGAATTTTTATGAGAGTTAAGTTAAAAGAGAACAGTATCTCTTTGGTCATGTAGCACCCACTGAATGTTCAGATTCTGTGTCACTCCCCCAGAAATACAGATAATCCTGTCATCCCTTCTTTTGATGGAAGATGAAGGGTTCAAGCCTAACAAAGAGATCAGCCCTTTGGAAGGGTCTCTGGGACTGTGGCCATCACTGACGCTCGTCATGTGTCCTTAGGGGAAAGGCATCGAGGAACGGCAGCAGCTCATCAAGCAGCTGAGGGATGAGCTGCGATTGGAAGAAGCCAGACTCGTGCTGTTAAAGAAGCTGAGACAGAGTCAGCTGCAGAAGGAGAATGTAGTACAAAAGGTAATGTGCCCTGGAAGAAGACACTGGAGCGAGAGAGGGCTGCCCAGCGAGGCTTACTCTTACCTGTTTCTCTATTAGTCTCAAAGAATAGTGATTTCTTTTCTTATACTTTAATCATGAAAATCCTAAATTCCCTGTTTCTCAGTTTTTCTTCCACAAGAATAGGAGCTTCACATTGGCAAGGAATTTTAAAGTCTAGAAACCTACCAGGCTACCACCTCTATTGGCCTTTCCCACAGTCTCATTTTGTCTTCCTTCTCAGACTCCAGTTGTACAGAATGCAGCATCTATTGTTCAGCCATCTCCTGCCCATGTGGGACAGCAGGGCTTATCCAAGCTTCCCTCCCGGCCCGGGGCCCAAGGGGTTGAACCTCAAAATTTGAGAACATTACAGGTAATGTGACTCGTAGTGAGAACCTAGTATTGAAGGGTCCTGTCTTTTCTGTCTTATAGCTTTTGTGGTGATTATAAAAACAGTCTGGCCATGATAGGGTGTTACTACCACACGTTCTGTTAAACCTTTAGGGTATGATCTAGCCTGTGGTAGAAGGGTGATGATCATTTTTTCCTTTCTCATGTTTCTTCTGTAGCAAAGGTTTCTAGCTTCTCTTGAGAGGAATTAGGTGTTTTTAGGGGTGGGTGGAAGCCAGTAATTTTCTACTCACAAATCAGGGTAGACAGTAGTGGTCTGTTTATCCTGGAGATGATGAGATAAAGTTGCCAGAGCTGGCTGTGTCCTAGTGTTTTTGCTCAGCTATGTATTTGAGGCAGTGTTTTTCTCCATTTGCATTTTGTGAGGCTTTAGTATCACCTGTAACTGCTTTTTTCTCTTCTTCCTTTAGGGTCACAGTGTCATCCGTTCAGCGACCAATACCACCCTCCCACACATGTTGATGTCTCAGCGTGTTATTGCACCAAACCCAGCGCAGCTACAGGGTCAGCGGGGCCCACCTAAGCCTGGCCTTGTACGCACCACAACACCCAACATGAATCCTGCCATCAATTACCAACCAGTAAGAGAGAACTCTTTTGTTGTTGAAATGCCCCTAATTTTTAAAAATTTTGTATGCACAGAAGTTCTAGGATAAGTGTGAATGGAGAACATTCCCAAAAGTGAAAGCTTTGAGGGATTTGTGGATTAGTAAAGAGGGCAGACAGACAGCAGAGTAGCAGAGAAATAAGATATTTTGGGAATAAAGGGAAGGATCTAGAAAAGTATCATAAGGATACGTGAAAGAAAACATCACTAATGTTTATTTAACAGTTTTAGCTCATAGCCACCATTATTTTCTTATTGTTTGCTTGAGTTCTTTAGCAGTGAGTAAGTTGGTCACCTCCTATCCTCAGGAAGCTAAGTCGTTCACATTAGGATTAAATAGTCCTCTTCCAAGAATGCATGTTTTGATTCTGTCTCCATATGTCAGCCATCACTGCTAACTGTCCTCAATCTATTTTAGCAGTCAAGTTCTTCTGTTCCCTGTCAGCGCACAACATCCTCTGCCATCTACATGAACCTTGCTTCCCATATTCAGCCAGGGGCCGTGAACAGAGTGTCCTCACCACTTCCTAGCCCCAGCGCCATGACTGATGCTGCCAACTCACAGGCTGCAGCCAAACTGGCTCTTCGCAAACAGCTGGAAAAGACCCTCCTGGAGATCCCACCCCCAAAACCTCCTGCTCCCCTGCTTCACTTCCTGCCTAGCGCAGCCAATAGTGAGTTCATCTACATGGTAGGCTTGGAAGAAGTCGTACAGAGTGTCATTGATAGCCAAGGTAAGATATTTCTTTTCATCTCATTTAAGTAGAAGGTGCAGTATTAAATAATTTCTCATTACTATTGCCAGACTACCGTCCATCTCTTTCTGTATAGATTTGGGAGCAACATATCAGAACAATTTTTTGTGCATATGTATATGTGTATCTTGGGCTAAGTTTTTTAATGTTGCGGCCAGTGTTTATTAAGGTGCGATGGGTTAAGTCACCACTTACGTTGCTGGCATCAGCCCTCAGAGCAGTCACTGCTCTGGTCTAATCCAGGTACCTGCTAATACACCTGAGAAAATAATGGAGGATGGTCCAAGTGCTTGGACCCTGGCAGCTGATGTAGAAGATCTCGGGAAAATTCTGGGGCCCAAGCTATGTGAGCTGGCCTGTCCCCAGTCTTAGCAGTCATTTAGGAAATGAACTAGCAGGTGGAAGATTCTCTGTGTGTCATTCTGTCTACCAAAATAAGTAAATTGTGTGTGAATGTGTGTTAAGTTTTATTATTTTGTGTACCTTTCATATTTCTAGCAGTATATAATATTTCTTTTAAATAGTGACTAATGTAACGCATGAATAATTTGATGATTAGAACTTACTTTTAATACCAGCTTTTGGAATTATGTTAAATTATTATATTTAGCCCCTGTGCTTTGAACATTGACAGTTAACAAAATACAAATACTGACATTGATAGCTAAGTATAGAAATAAAAAAGCCATTAAATAGAGCCCAGTGCAGTGGCTCAGTCACTCTGTCTTCGCCTTGCAAGTGCCCAAGATTCTATAAGTATGTAGGTTGCTGTTCCACTTCTCACCAGCTGGCTGTGAGTGGCCTGGGAAAGCAGTATAGCCTAAAGCTGTGGGCCTTGCATCCACGTGGGATACCCAGAAGAAGTGCCTGGATTTGGATCGGTTCAGCTCTGGCCATTGCAGCCATTTGAAGAGTGAACCATTGATGAAGAATCTTTCTCGTTTCTCCCCTTCTCTCTCTAAAAATCTGATCTGCCTTTCCAATAAAAATAACTCTTAAAAAAAAACCACTAAACATCACTGAGCCACACTGCAGAGTGTTAACATCATACAGTCTGAACTTAAAGAAGTCACTAAGTTTTCAAATATATGCACTTAATGAGAACTTCTTACAGGCAAGGAGAGTCCCTAGAAGACTCTGTATTATTTTATTAGCTGTAAATAGGTCACAGAGTGACTGAGACTGATAGTAAAATTGTAAATGTATAAATCAGAGGTAAGGATAGTCTGAAGTAAGATGTTAAGTGAACCAGTTGCTTGAGTTTCATGACTTTGAATTGGCACAGTGTTGTCTTCTCCCAGCTCTTGTCATTTAGTAGCTGTTTTGTTTCTTAGGCTTAACTTTCTCAGTTGTAAAGGAAGATGCTATTGTCTGAACTTTTTAGATTCAGCAGAACAACCTGCTAGAAAAGTATTATTTGATGGGCAGTGCGGGGAAACAGAAGAAATATAAAGCGTGTGAATTCACTGTGTTCTCTTTTGTTGGCGTTTAGGCAAGAGCTGTGCCTCACTTCTGCGGGTTGAACCTTTTGTATGTGCCCAGTGCCGCACAGATTTCACCCCTCACTGGAAGCAAGAAAAGAATGGTAAGATTCTATGTGAGCAGTGTATGACCTCAAACCAGAAGAAGGCCCTAAAAGCTGAACACACCAACCGACTGAAAAATGCTTTCGTGAAAGCCCTCCAGCAGGAACAGGTGAGAATGCTGACTTCTCCTCAGCACTCAGTTGTGTGGGTTTGGCTGTTTCTTACAGTTTGGGAGAGTTTTCCATGTTACCCACACAGGCTTTGGGACCTGGCAGCCTTATCCCTTTTCCTACTATTCTATGTTTCCTACTTCTACCTTCCACTTGTTTCTGATTAGTAGAAACATAGTAACATAAGGTTTAGGAAAAAGAACAGAAGTCGTAAGACTGCTAGCTTTTCCATTGCACCAAAGAAATCCATCTATTCTAAGCCTCATGTTTTCTTCAAACCAATTTATTTTGGTGGGAGGAACATATATTTGTACTAGAAATCTGAGAGAAGTAATTCTCTACAGTCCATATCTGACAAAGGAGAAGAGGATTGTTATAAAGTTGCCTGTTGAAGGATGTATCTTAAACATCTGTGGTAGTTGCAGAATATCTTAAAGAGTGGAAAATGTGTTACCTGTTAGGATATTGACAGTTCCACTCTGTCACCCATTAGACTCTTGTTGAATCGCATCATTGATCTTCTAGAAAATAGGTAGGGAGAAGTCAAAAGTGAAACCCCAACAATGCATCAGTGACCTTGTAGTCCCCACATAGCTTCCTCCAGCCAAGTTACTAGAGCCAGCTTTTCCTTAGGACAAAATGGAATCCTAGTGGCCACTTAAATTGTAATCTCAAGGTAACTACCCCCACCAGAATCTTTAGACTTTTGGATGTCGCTCAGGCTACCTGGCAACATCAGAGATAAGAAAACTTCTGAGGTTTCTGGTCAGAAAAATTGGGTACTGTCCTTCCAAGCTGATGAGATGACTCCCAACAGGAAATTGAACAGCGATTACAGCAGCAGGCAGCCCTCTCCCCCACTACGGCTCCAGCTGTGTCCAGCGTCAGTAAACAAGAGACTATCATGAGACATCATACACTTCGACAGGTGAGGGACTTTTTTTTTTTTTGCTTAATCCTGGTTTCTGTCAATTATTTGTCCTCCATTTATCCCAGTTCAGCCTGTCTTCTGTGGAAAGCACTTTATGGTCCATCTATCCTCCTATTTTAACATTCCATCTTGGCAAAGTGATATCATTCATCTCACTGTTGCAGGCTCCACAGCCCCAGAGCAGCCTCCAGCGTGGCATCCCCACATCTGCTCGCTCCATGCTTTCGAATTTTGCACAGGCACCCCAATTGTCTGTGCCAGGTGGCCTCCTTGGTATGCCAGGTAAGCAAAATTGATCTGAGAACTTTGTTGGGGGATGAGCTGGTTAATACACAACAGTTCTTTAGCACCCCCTTTAGGTAAATTATTCCATCCTTTGCTTTCTGTTTTTTCTTTAGGGTGAACTCCCCACTCTTGTTAGCATGTTTGCTAAATTTCCACTACATGCTAGCTATAGTGCAGTAGGATTTTGGTGGTGAAAACAGCACAGGTCTCCTGAAATGGAACATCTAATGGACAGGTGGTTGTTAGTTTCTTTTGGCAAGGCCTGCAGAGTCAGGTGTTCTGTTTGATAAAAATCTAGCAGTGCTTCACAATCCCTGCCCAAAGTGAACGCGGCTTCAGCAATCCTGTCTCCTTGTCTTAATGATCTTCCTCTCACCACCGTGTCATGTGCCACCAGAATTATGTGCATAATTTCTGATAGGATTAAATTTTCAGGAAGATTTTTACCTAAATTTGGGAGTAGGGAAAAATAGTTGCCAAAATCAAGCATATTGAATCTGGACAGGTGCAAGCAACTTACAATGTTTCTTCCATCTCCAGTTCTGTAGTCTCAGGACAGTGCAGAAAGGAATGTCATCTCCTCTTTTAACACGTGCCCTCCGCTTTTGTCTCCTGGATCTAGGTGTCAACATAGCATATTTGAACACTGGCATCGGAGGACATAAAGCCCCCAGTTTGGCAGACCGGCAGCGTGAATACCTTTTAGACATGATCCCTCCCCGGTCTATATCGCAGTCCATCAGTGGACAGAAATAACGCCTGTTCCACTTGCCCTGCCCCAGCCTTGAATCCTTTGCCCCTTTCCTCCCCATGCCCCCAACTTCCGTCGCATGCAGTGCCTGTACTGGTGCCTACCATACACGGAAAGCAAAACAGAAAACAGAAGACAAAAAATAGAAATCAGCAACACACGCCCTGCCCGCCAACTCCCCTTCACTTCACACTGCTGCGATCTGTTCTGCCACTCTGTCTTCTCACTCTGGTTTTCTTTAACAGTGAGGTGGATCTTTGCCTCTGCTAGAGGTCAGAATGAGGTCCTGGGGAGAATCCAAGCCCTCTGACATGTGGTTCTGAAGTTTATTTTATGCTATAATTATTATCATTTTTTAATGATGTTGTGTGTCTTCCCTTTGTTCAGTGAACGGTTAAGCCCTCTTCCCTCAATCTTTTTCTTTTCTTTCTGCGTGCCTGTCTTTGGTTTTGTTTTTTGTTTTGTTTTGTTTTCAATCTTTTTATCTTTTGGTGAACACAGATAACATTCAGTGAGAATGATGGGAACACTGCAAAGTGCAGCAAGGTCCCCAGCTGCCAAGCAGGTCATTAGTGGGAGTGGTAGAAGCAGAAGTTTTGAATGCACTTAACCAGAGATGGGGGCAGAGGTGGCATCAGACAGGAAGGGCCAGCTGTGGGTTTGTTGGGGCTGGACTGTTTGGGAGGCAGTGTTTAGTATTGAAGTTGGGCTCTAGGAATGAGGGGCAAGAGCCTGGAAGGAGAAGCTTTAAAACTCCACCACCTTGGAATTTACCGATGGAGGATGGGGAGAAGGAGGTATAGCGCTGAGTGTAGTGATGAGCCGAGGAGAAGCAAGACCTTGTCCTGGCCTTCTGCACCCCAAGGGGTCTGAAAAGGGTGGTCTCCTTGATCCCACTGGGACACAGAAGTTACTCCAGGCCAACTAGCCCAAAATTATTGCATCTTATTTTCTTTGTAAAATTCTTCCCCACCCCACCCCTTTTTAAAAATCCTGATCTTCCCCCTATAACCACAGTTCTATCTATAATATAGAGGAATGGCTGTTCCTGGGTTGATTTTGCTGGGTGTCCTAGAAGTTGGAATGGGTATGAGTCAGGTGACAGAGGGAGAGCATAGATGAAAAAGAGATTTTTCTCAGCAGTTCTGAGTCTTAGATTTGCCTCTCCCTTCACTTTCCAAGTGCCAGGAGGTGAGAATGAAGGCACCTGAGGAGGTGAGAGAACCGCCCTGACTGCAGAACCCACTGCTCATGTCCAAACCAACTCTGGATCTCTGCTGTAGTAGTCGTGTATCCGTCCCCCCCCCCCCAGGATTCTGTTGATTTTGCTTCATTTTATTTTAATTTTTTTTTAAGCGCTACTAATTTAGAGAATGAATTGAATTGTGCAATGTTGCTATTCTGGTGATTGGGGAGATTAACATCCCACTTGCCCACACTATGGGAGAGGTTGGTGGGGATGGGGCGGTGTCTGAGGTGAGGGAGAGCCCTCAGAGGATGGGCTTCTGCTCTCCTCAGGGTGCACGCCATCAGACCCTCCCACTCCGGAGCTGCCAGAGGCTGCTGGGGGATACTCTTAGCAGAGAGGGCTGTGGAGAATTTTAATATTTTGCCCTTTAAAGCCACCTGAGAAAGTTCCCTCATTTTTATTTTTAAAAATTAAAGAATTTTTTTAAAGTAAGAAGGCACTTTTAAAATTAACACACACCCAAACTGCACATCTTCCCCATAAAATTTGGGGTGGGGTGGGAGAAGGAGCTGAAATCGGGTTCAGTTTCCCACTTTGGCCTCTGCTCTCTGCACCCCAGTGCCACTGTGGGTGATTATACTGGCCCTACGGGCCTTCCTGGCTTTTTTCTTTCTTCCCTTCCCCCAAATTCATGGAGCACTTAATTAAGGAGCAGAGATGCAGCTAGTGTCTGCGCTCCCCACGTGATGAAGTGATCTGGAAGCGAAGCACTAGGAGCAGGTAGTGATCGGGTCGTTTTCAAGTATTTTTCTGGGGAATGTGGTACCCCTGACTGTACGTGATGGGAGAGGGAGGGGGGTTAATGGAACTGGGTCTGGGATTATTTTAAAATTATATATATATATATAAAGATATATTCTTACATCTTTTCTTTGCCCTCTGTGCTTTGAAAGCACTGGATAAAAGCGTTTGGTTTTGCTTTTCTCTCTTCCACAAAATTGGAAGCGTGTGGGGTTTTTGTGTGCGTGTGTATGTGTTTTTTTTTTTTTTTTTTTTTTTTTAATGTTTTCTTACAAGTCATCTTGCCTTTGGGCATGTCTGTCTAGCCTCCCCCATGATGAAGTGCCATTTCTGTTACATCTCCCTCTCCCCAGCTCAGAGGTGCTCAGTGGTACAAGGTACCCAAGTTTGTCAGTTGAGATTAAAAGTAAGGAACAGAGAATGTGCAATACCGTCTGGCTGCGGCTGTCCCTGCCCTGAGCTGAGTCCCCGCCCTGGGAGCCAGGCCACTTTGCAATGAGGTTTGGAAGAACGGTGTGTGGAGATGGGGAGAGAAGGGGAAGGAAAGCCCGATGCCAGGCACCTGCTTGGGTGCTGAGGCCATAATAGGGCAGAGGGTGGACTCTTCCCTGGTTTGAATCCCCTCAGGGTCAGTTACACAAAAGCTGCTTGTTGACTAGTATAGCTCTGTGACCCTTTACTCAGTTACTGAGGTTTGATTTCTTCTCCTTTCTTCTCCCAGTTTTCATGCCCTTCCCAGGGGATAGTGATGGGGGTGAGGTCTTAATCATGGTCAAGTATTAGCCTTCCACCTCCTCTCCTCCCTCCATGTCCTTGTCCGTCCGTCTTCCTCAATTCTCTACTTCTTCATCACTGATTACCCTGTCTCCCTCCAAGTCTCATTGGTATCCGTCCCTGGGCCTTGGGCCCTGTGGACACTAAGCCTCATGCCTTTAGGACAGGAGAACAGATCCTCTGGTCAGAGTCATTGCTTACCTTGAGCTCCACATGAAGCTCAGAGTGTTGGCAGAGTGTGGATCCCAGGGACTCGGCCTGGCTCCCTCCAGCCCCGGGCACTGACGGTGTCTTGCTCCCTAGAAACCTGGTACCGGGCAGATTGCTGTGTGGCTTGGGTAAGGCTGGGAGGCAGAGGTCCATATTTGTCATTTTTATTTTGTCATTTGACCACAGCATCTGGATTCCCTTCATCCCTGGAATAAGTATTTTCCTACATTTTTGGATATATGTATGGTAGACAATTTTTTTTAAGACACAGAGATAAATGTTTTCCTGCTTTGGTTACCTTTCCTTTCCCCTTTAAAAGGAATTAGCTATAGAACTGCTTTGTAAAGATGCTTCTTGATATTTTACTTTTTGTTCCTTTTCCCTAACCATTCCCTTTTCTCCCCAATCCTCCAGAAGGCATAACCCTTCTCTCCACACACCCCACCCCACCCCAATCCTAGGCTCCATTCCCTTCCATCAAGACCTTCATTAGCTTATGATATTTGCTGCCGAGATGTTATAACAAGGACTCATTCGTGTATATAAGCTATTTCTTGATCCATTTAAAAGGAATTGTACATTGTGTAGAAAAAAAAAAAACTGAAAAAGAGAAAAAAAAGCCCTAGCCATGGATATTGTGAAACTGTGTTATGTCATTTTGTAATGTGCCCGTTTGTGTATGATCCGTGCAAAAGGGTTTCTGGGGAAGGGGAGGGGGTAGGGAGGCACGGCTGTGGAGGGTGGGTAGGGGAGTGGGCCGGGCCCAGCACGCTGAGACTGGCAGCTGCTCCAACCCCATCCCTCCTTAGAGATGCCACCTCCCCCACCACCCACCCCTAATTTGTGCCTTGCCTCCCCACCCTGGAGTAGTCCCTCCGGGTCACCAGCACTGCCTTGGCAGAGCCCACTCCCTATCCCAACCTGCCCACCCGCCCTACCTCCCCAGCGTTAGGTTGATACTGTGGGGAAGGCTGGGGGTTGGGAGGTAGCCGAGGAATGGGGCAGTTCCCCGGGGGCATCGAAACCAAGTATTATGAATTGTAATTGTATTTGCACTGTTTTTTTCCCTCTGATTGCATCAGCATATATACAATATACCTATATAACAAAATCCAGTGTCAAGCTTTCTTATGCAAGGGATTCACCCCACCCCAACCCTCCCCACCCCCTGAGGAGAAAGAGCCTGGTCCCCTGGGCCTGTGGAGGGTGGCACGTCAGGGGACAGTCGAGAGAATCTTAAGACATCCTCAGGGCCTCACCAGGTGAGAGCCCTGTGTACCTGCAGTTCTAGGCCCGGAATCTGAGGTGAGGCCGGGTTCCTGTGCTTGCCAGTGGAGAGTACCCTTTGCTCATGCAGAGGGTGGCGTGGGGCACAGTCGAGATCTGGGCTTTCCTGCTGATCTGCTGTGTTGTCTTTTTAGTAGTTAATTTTCTGGGCCTCAATATCTTAGAAATGAGAGTTAAATCATCCAACTACAGATTTTAAATTCTAGGCTTCCTTTCTACTCACCAAAACAAAACAAAACAAAAAAAAACTTGAGGTGAAGAAAGTGTTGCACTAAAAAACCAAGTAGGACGCTGAAGTGGCAGGTATGTGGTGGCAGTGTGGTGAGACCCTGGGAGAGCTGGCTGCCCCTTTCTGCTTTGGGAGGAGCAGCAGAGTGGCCGCTGAGACATCAGACTCGTGATATATTCATGTTCACCTTAAGTTTCTAGTCATCTGAAAACAGACTAGATCCCAAGTCCCACCTCACAGCCAACCACAGAGCCCTGCAGCTGGCTGGCCATTCAGTGTCCCAATGCTGATCTAGTTAGATATTCCCCTTGTGAGCTGTACCAAGTGGGACTTTCCTGTCATCTTGTGACCAAAAGGAAGAGCTGCTGCTAGAGCCCACATCTTACCCTCTCACCTTAGAGCTCAGTTGAACTCCTGCCAGCAGCCAGATCACCATGTGTCTCCCTCGGGAGCCCAGTGTGCCTACAGACAGGGCTGCGCACCCACTCTGCAGAGCCCAGGGTGGAGACAGGCCTCTGGGTGGAGCCTTGGCCACGGTGGAAGGAGAGATTGGGGTTGGGGAGCGGGGGAGCAGGGGGTGGGGTGGGACTGGCCTTCCCCGTATAGGGTGGGTGGGAGGGGAACAAGACCCTTTTGCACAACTCTCTTTTTTAAGTTTCCTTTATTTTTTTTTAAACTCATTCTAATTTTCTGCATTGTGTTTGGGAAATAAAATGAAAAAACTAAGACCAATAGAAACTGGTTTTCAAAAAGGCAAATACACTCCCATCTGTTTCAGATGCTGCTGAGCACATTAGCAGTGACAGATTCAAATAATAAGCTAATTTTTGGAGAAAGGATTAAAAGAAAAAAAACTTTGTAATATTTATCACTTGCAAGCTATGTTTAATAAAGAAAGGAATGGTTTCTAACCTTTGCTGAGCCTTGTGTTTTAGTCATGGTGGGGGTCTTGGGTGACACTGGCTAAATGGGGAGGAGTGAGAAATTGATGGGGGTCCCTGGCAGGGTCCTCTGCCACCAAAACCCAACTTGGAACTCATCTGCAAACAGAAATTGAATGGGAAATGACACACTCCAAAGAGAGACAGGTGCATGGAGTGTGGGGAGGGGCAGCTGGCTGCTGGTTGTTCAGAGCTGTCATGACTGATGCCTTGGGGAGAAGGAGGTCAGAGGACTCAGCTCCAGGCGGGCATCTCAGCTTGGCCGTGTGGAGATGTACTTGGGTTTCAGAATGGAGGCATGCTGGCAGCTGCAAGGTAGAAGTAAGAACAGAGCCTCTTGCTCTACCCTCCTGCCCCCCAACTCCCAGGGGGACATTTTTAGGTTGTGTCTCTGGGTATGTTCATGTTTACATCAAGAGGCAGAAATGATGGGGATCTCAGACAGGAGCAGCCAGGCCGGGGGCAACTCCCAGCTGACTGGTTTAGTTTGAAGTTATTTGGTACTGGGGGAAGGGTGCAGAATTTGTTTCCATTTCCTGAAATGGGGCAAGGAACAGAGAAAGCATAGCCTCGCCCCCTGTACCTGCCTGCCGCTGAAGAGGGGCTGAAGAACCGCTGGTTTCTCCCCAACCCCAAGGTGAAGGGAAGTGAGGCAGATTTCTTTGGTAACTCTAGATTGGTGAGCTGGGAGGGAATTGACTGAAAAGGTGCCAGGCTTTGGGCATCGTGCCAGTCTCCTAAGAGTGAAGGAGGTGGTTAGGGCCCTGTCCCGGGGCTTGTAGCACACCAGCCTTCCACTGGGACCCCCAGCTGGCCTGCAGAGAAGACTGCCAGGATAGGTGGGCCCAGCACCACAAACGGCAGGGCCTCCTCTGCCCCAGTGTCCAACCCAGCATAGAGGGCAGACACCTTCCTCTGAAAGTACCAGGTAGCCCTGAAAGCCTGCTTGCCCTCTGTGTCCTGGTTGATGAAATTGCTGTGTAACAGATACAGAAGGCTGCTTGCTGCTCTCTGGTCCCATGTCACAGATCCTATGCTCCCTAGCATTGACAGTAGCACATACATGGCTCTTATTCGCCCAGGGAAAGACAGGGATGCAAATGAGGAAGGCACCCAAGCTTACATGGATACCTACCACAAGACCAGGCAGCCCACCGTAGACCTGGACACAGTGCCATCTGTCAGAGGAGCAGGTGTGAGGGCCAAACCTAGCCCCTCTTTGTCCCTCAAGTCTGGCAGCCTGGGTCTTGTTGGAGGGGCCTACCTGTCTCCAGCACTGCTACCTACTGGACCCTGCTCACACAGAGACAGAGTGAGGCACTGTTTTGCCCGTCCCTGAGCTCCATCTCAAGGCCACCGGCTCTGTGGAGATGGAAACCGGCCTATCAGGCTCAGCCAGCTCTGCCACGACTGAGGTCACACTGGGCCTGGGGGTGGAGAATCAGGGCACTGGCAATCTAAAAATTTACTCTGTGGTCCAGGTCGCTGGCACGGTGGGTGCCAGGTCCGTGGACCCCTGGGGTGGGGGGTTCAATGGAGCCTGTGTCCTTGGGCACACAGCCAAGGTGGGTGCTGGATCTGTGAGCCCCAGGAGCAGGGTGTCCTTGGGCCCACCTGCATGGTGGATTCCAAGTCAGTGAGCCCTGGGGATGGGGGGCCCCAGCAGGGTCCAGGTTTTGACCCATCTCCAAGGTGGATGCTGGATCTGTGAGCCCCAGGGGTGGGGCTCAGGTTACCTGGCCCAGGTCCTTAGGCCCACCTGCACAGTGGGTGTGCGTGAGCCCCAGGTCTATGAGTCCCAGGAGTGTGGGGTCTGGTGAGGCCCTGGTCACTGGGCCTGCTTGTGCGGTGGGTATTGGACCCTTGAGCCCTGGGGGGGTGAAAGGTTGGCAGGTCCCAGGCCATGTGGCCAGGATCCTTGAGCCCATCTGCATGATGGATGTTCAGTCCATGAGCCCCAAGAATGGGAGGCCTGTGGGGAGGTGGGAGGCATAAGGGGGCCAGGTTGCCTGGTCCAGGTCCATGGGCCCACCTGTGAGAACTGGTCCTCCTCAGTGTAAAAGATGGGTTGGTGGATGGCAGGCCTTGGTGCACATAGAGGATATGCACACTGGGGCTTGCAGAGCACATCTGGTGCCGTAGCAGAGACTGGAGAACAGAACATACTGGATAACCACCCCGGCCAAACAATGACAAATGGAGACATTAAGATTGGCTGTTTCAGCTAGAGGACATTGGAAGGGTTTTCTCATCCATAGATCAGCAAGACCATTTCAGATCTGTCACATCCATCTGGGAAGACCTCTCTGCATGTGCACCACATCGCGACCCTGAGTTGATACTGGGTAGCCGTCCCCCATCCCCAAGTATTGGGGTGGTTGGGAGACTGGGTACGACTTCTGCCTTTATCTCCACCTCCCCCCAGAAGTGAGAAAAAGCAAGTTTGGAAACAATGATCACACTCACTTCTCCCTAACCCTGGATACTTCCCACCCTGCTCTTTTATGAAAACACCATAAAAAAAAAACCTAAAATGTGAGGTAAAAAATTTGCTGTTAGGGGCCAGTTCTGCAAGTTAGGCTTGGGATGCCCACAGCTGTCAGATGTCAGTTTGCATCTTGGCTCCCCATGCCTCCAGTCCGGTCTGCTGCTGCTGCGTTTGGGAAGGTAGATGGTGGGTGACCCCCGTGGAGCTCCAGCCTCCTGGCTTCAGCATAGCGCAGCCCCAGCTGTTGGAGCCATTTGGAGAAAATGAAAGACTGTGTGTATGTAAAATCCTTTCGAATTTAATTTTATTTTTAATGTTGTTTATATAGTTGAAAGGAATGCATGCCCATGTGGGACTCAGATTAGGGTAGGAATGGTACAAGTATGGAGGAAGGGTTGGACAGCTGTTTCAATTTTTTTCCTCCTGTGTTCACAGAGGGGACCACTCCTGGCTATCAGATGACTTCAGCACCCAGGGGTAGAGATGGAGGACAGTCATTTGATGATGCCTTAGAAACCCTGATGTTGGGAAGAATGTTGTGATGGTTACTTCAGTAGTCTTGATAGTCCTGAGACATCATCGGCTTCTTTGCACCAGGGTTGAGAAAATCTTTCCAATGTCTACTGGCTGACCAAGTCCACCTCTGTGTATCCACAGACCCAGACACTTGCTGCAAAGCTTGGCTGTAAGAGTGGTCCAACCTGTCCTGCTTCCATCCTCCAACAAGGCACTTGATGTCCTCTGCTGGCCCAGATGAGCTAAAGCCTTTCCAAACTGGGTGTGCATGTGTTGTTGTTGTCGTTCCAGGCCTCCCCAGGTCTGTGCAGAAGGAACGGACCCCACCAGGCAGGAGCAGAGCAGCAGGGCCTGCTGGTAGCTGGCAGTGGAGTTTGAAGCCCCGGTTAGGGTGATAGCTCCCAAGGGACCTGCACAGAGGTGGCACGGGGCACTTGGGGGAGAAGCCCAGGGCAGCAGAAGGTGCAGAAAAAGATGAGATGGTTGGCAACTCCTGCCGCCATGGGCTTCTCCATCCAAGTGTCCTGTGCTGCCATTATTGCCACCCCTCCCTGAGATCAGAAGGCATGCTCCAAAGTGCCTTTGGTATGGCATCATGGAGCTCCAGATTGCCTGGCTGCCAAGAGCAGAGCGTGTTGGAAGTGGCAGCTCAGTACCCTCTCAGGTTAGACACATCTCCTCAGCCTCCACCACCAGCCAGGCCTCCGAGGGGAACAGGGAAGAGGGCTGCAAAAGTTGAGAGCCAAAAGGACAGAGGATGAGGTTGAGAAATGGGCCTTAGAGATCATGAAGAAAAGAGGCTGGGCCATGTGCCATCAGCGCAGGGGAGACACAGGTCCTCAGGACTGGGAAGAGGCCAGACGGGTCTGTAGGAGGCTGGGGCCCAGGGAGAGCAGCAGTCAGGGACAGGAGACTGGAGATGTAGGGCTCCAGTCCAGAGCTCACGGCTCTGAGCAGCCAACCCCATGGGCAGGAGGACCAGCACATCCCTGATGATGTCCCTGTCGGTGCCAGGCGCTCCCTGCACATTAGAGTGACTACTTGGGCGCCCAGCGCGATGGCCTAACAACTAAAGTCCTCACCTTGAACACGCCAGGATCCCATATGAGCACCGGTTCTAATCCCAGCAGCCCTGCTTTCTATCCAGCTCCCTGCTTGTGGCCTGGGAAAACAGTCAAGGACAGGCCAAAGCCTTGGGACCCTGTACCAGCATGGGAGACCTGGAGAAAGTTCCTGGCTCCTGGCTTTGGATCGGCGCAGCACCGGTCATTGCGGTCCCTTGGGGAGTGAATCATCAGATGGAAGATCTTCCTCTCTGTCTCTCCTCCTCTCTGTATATCTGACTTCGCAATAAAAATAAATAAATCTTTAAAAAATAGAGTGACTACTGGGGTGCAGGGAGTGGCTCCATACAGCCTGTCAGCCAGGCAAGCTCTGCTGCACTGGTAGATGGTCCTGTCCGCTCACTGAGACCCCTACCAGCATCATTGTGCTAAAAATACCGCTGCGGGAGCCCCCTCCCACCTGGCTGT